AGTTCATAAATCACTCAGCAGCACAGCCAGCGCGTGTGATGAGAGCGGCTAATCAACGGCTTATTTGAACTGGAAGACTGCACAGATTTGTGAAGGTGCACAAGCGAGCATACAGTGCTGCATTATATATCAGTTCATCAAACCAATTTTAATATCGCATTGCGACAACCCAAGGAAATACAAAATGCTGTTTCTAAATGCCATTTTCATTTATATAAACACAAAAATATTTCCAGACCTACCTGTCTCTATGTGAAAAAGTAATTGCCCCCTGAACCTAATATTGGATTGTGCCACCCTGCCAGCAATCACATCACGGTGAAGGAATTTTGGCGAGCTCACTTTTTTATTGCATGAACTGCCCATTTAAGGTCGCACCACAGCATCTGAATTGGATTCAAATCCGGACTTTGACTTGGCCACACTAAAACCTGAATAATTTTTTTTTTTTTCGCTATTCTGAGGTGGACTTGCTGGTGTGTTTCAGATCATTGTCCTGCTGCATGATCCAAGAGCGCTTCAGTTTGAGGGTGCAAACTGATTGTCAGAGGTTCTCCTTCAGTATTTTCGCGTAGACAATAGAATTCATTGTCCCATCAATCACAGCTAGTTGTCTTGGTCCTGAGATAGCAAAGCAGCCACAGACATTGCCACCACCGTGCTTCACTGTTGGCATAATGTTCTTTTTACCACATGCTTTTTCCACATCGGGACAGTTAGTTTTTTCATAATAATGATCATAATAATATAATAGCAATATGAAATCTGTAATATAGTGCTGTATTTAGTCCGACTTTTGAATTTTGTGTAAGGTTCAGCACAGGTAGAATTTTGTTTTTTTTTTTTTTTATGTCATAGCTACAAATCACGACGCATGGTAAAATCCGGACTGCGCAAGCTTTTGTTGGTGAAACTTAAAAACAAAAAAATGAAAAAAAAATCCTGATGTGCTACAAAAGAAGTAGACATTTTTTTTCATCAATGTCATAAATACATAAGGGACACTAAGCCATCTGATTAGAATTTGCTGTTGTCACTTGTTTTTAAAGACCACCGCGCTACCCCCACCGCCACCTTGCACGAATAAGCACACATACTACATTATTGGTGCCCCTTGTTTGGCATAATACCTTAGGTTACACGCACATGCACCAGATGCCCCCTGACGCTTATTCAGATCAAGCGGGCACGTGATGGACTGCCCCCGAGGCCCTGCCAGCCTCACGTCATTGTGTTCCCCCCTCGGGCCAGGCGGCCGGCCTCCCTAATAAATCCCCTTTTGTCTTGGTGGCCAAGCGGCTGGTGTGGCACGCGCACCGCCACTCGTCCCACTGGTGCGTGTGACCCAAAACAGGTGGATAGGATGGTTGAAGCGGGTTGGGCGCAAGTATGGGCTAAAAAGAAAGGGGGTGGGGGTGGGGGGGACAAGTGCATCTGTCCCCGCTTTCAACGACTCCCTGGGTCAGCCACAGCTCCATATGCTTGCGCGAGAGAAGAGGCACGCATGCAAAGGCGAACTTAACTGGGGGGGGGGGGGGGGGGGGTGGGGGGGGTTGATTAGGAGGCGTATTATTGATTAGTCAATGGAGTGATTGGCTATGAGCAGTGGTTCGACTGGTTATTAAAACAGGAGGGACGAGAATGTCAAAGGTCAGGGTACGTAACTTGGTTTCAAGTTGACCGTTTGGTTCACATTGCATACAGGAAGGCAACAAAATGCAAGTCTGCTTATCTTTTGGGCAAACAGGAACAGATTTAATGACATTTCAAATGTAACAACAACGGCTTAAATCTTTCAGAAAAGTGCAACAGTGATTCGTTGCTTGTGTTCTTTTTTGAGAAGTGCAACCGTAATCGTTTAAATAACGTGAATTATTATGCTCTCAAAAACTAATCATTGCGTTTGTCAGTGTTTTGGCTCCATCTGAAGAGCTGCTGGACAAACGAATAGCTGCCTAATACACGGGATACGGATAATACAGCTCATCGTTTAATTGACGGCATCACTCATGGCTCTGAGACCTTTGAAAAAAGTTTGGGAACATGACATCATGACAGAGGGGTTAGTTTTTTTTTTTTTGCCCCGGACATTGATGTGCACGGCTGGTGCTGGAGCCATGTTTGTGCCATTTTAATCAATGACAGTGTATTTTGTGCAACAGTATATGACAGCAGTATCAGGTATACAGTAGACACCCGCATACCCGTGGTTGGGCACCCACGGATTCACTTAATTGCAGATTTTTTTTCCAGATTTTTTTTTTTTGATGGGGGTGGGGGGTCGAGCCAAGCCCTGATTTTTTTGTAGAACATTCTCAATGACAGTTCAATCAAGAATTTGGCGGATTTAAAAAATTATCTACTTTTTTTTCCCAGTGCATTTAAAATGGAAAGGCAAAGCAACTTTATTTAGATAGCACGTTTCACATATGAGACAATTCAATGTGCTTCACGCAAGCAAAGATACAGCACCTAAAAGCATATACAAACACAACAGGAGCAAAGCAGAGAAGCCAAAAGTATCTTTCCAAAATTACAAAGAGAACTTACATTGACAACATTTAAACACTTTAACAGAATACTTTAAAAGTACACAAATAAGAAGTAAAATACAGACCACATTTTCATGATTGGTTATAGCTTCCTCTTGTATATGAGAAAATAACTTAAAAATAAGGCTACATTGCAGTCTTTGAGTGTACGTTTCTAGTTTGCTAACTGTCCCAGTTTTGTAAATTACGCTTTGACAAACATGATGTCGTTTCAAGAAATCATGATTAAATCTTAATTATGTTCATGAAAATTGGGATCCCAAATGACCAATATTATAATTACAAATGGAATGATGGTGGGGCTGCATTAGCAGCAGCCACGTCAGGGAATGTTAAAACGAATCATAATATTGTCTTGGGAAATATTAGTGGAATTCGAAATGAGTAATAGCTCTTCAAAAGATGTGGTTTGGGCGTTTTGCTTTTTAAAACATTTTTTTTAAGAAAGTACGGTAACTTTCATTTTTTGCTTCTAAAAAATGTTGACGTATGAACTTCACAGTACAGTCGGACCTCTCAAGTTGAGCACAATTTGTTCAGGCACGCTGTTTGTATTTGAAGAGTTTGTGCCATAGAAAATAAGAGTCATCGAAATAATGTGTTCCAGGGTCAAATTTTGTTGTCATCAGAAATGTCTTTATTAAATGTAGAGGAAGTCACATTTTGACATTCTTAACTATTATGCAAGCGTAAAAATAAGTTAACCACTGTCAAATGTAAAAACAACAAACCACTAGCTAGCTCATCAATGCAAATGGCATTTCTACTCCCTATTTTGAAACAAGTGCCCAAAAAGTAAAAGTAAGACAACAAAAATCCAAAGTAAAAGTATAAAACACTCTAAGTCTTAATACTTTTGCAGAACGGACACGCTGATGTCTTGGAACAGTTGATCACCCAAGAGTGTTAGTTCTGAATTTCCAATTGCGTTCGCCTATGTGTTGAAATAAGTTGGTGGCTCTGAGGGGCCTCTGACCGGTACTTCCTCCTTCTCTGAAGTGCAGTCAATCTGCCCAATGTCCAGACTGGCCCAGAGAATGCAAATATATTGGTTGTAGTTGTGGTCCGGCAGGGCGGTGGTCAACTGGTTAGCACGTTGGCCTCACAGTGCAGAGGTGCGGGGTTCGATTCCGGCTCCGGCCTTTCCTGTGTGGAGTTTGCATGTTCTCCCCGAGCTTGCGGGTTTTCTTTGGGTACTCCGGTTTCCTCCCACATTTGAAAAACATGCATGTCAGGTTCATGGAACACTCTAAATTGTCCAAAGGTGTGAATGCAAGTGCGGATGGTTGTTTGTCAAATCTGGAATGCCATTGGCCGGCAAAGAGTTCAGGGTGTACCCCGCCTACTGCCCGAAGCCAGCTGGGATAGGCTCCAGCTCTCCCGTGACCCTTGTGAGGATAAGAGGATTAGAAAATGGATGGATGGATGGAAATATATTAAGAGCACATATTTTGCGTGAATGCACATATTTTGTCCATATTTAAAATCGGAGTAATGTCACACATCATGGTTTGGAAGTGAGTGGTCCAATGTGGGCCCCCCCCCCCCCCACCAGTCGGACTGATGAAAAATTGGGGTCCCCTCCAGCATTTAAGTTGCCCTTTCCTGATCTGGGCCTTAAAAAACTGCAACAGCAAGAACAATCAAAATCACATTTAGAAATAACTTCAAATGTATTAAACAAAATAAAATGTCAAGCAAATGCTTCATGGTACACCAATATCTGAAAAAAAAAGTATATGAAACAAGGTGAGAAAAAAAAATCAATTAAATAAATAAAGTTGAATCATTTGGTCCTAAATCTATTTACAATATGCTGAAGTTGTCATGAAAGAACAACTGAAATAAGAACTAATCCAAATGTAACTTTTTTTTCTCCAAAAAAAAACCAAAAAAAAAAACAACACATATAAACAAATAATACTTCTGCAGATTCTCTTGACTCTTCACCTCGCGGTCAAGAGGTCCTAATAGGACCTAGTTGGGTTATGCCTTAGGCCAGCTCTGAAAATAAACATCATCCCTAACCAAATATTCAAGCGCCCTTTACTTGCGTTATGATGGTGAATTACTTCCATGATAGTTTGCCTCTTCTGGCTGAATGAGTTCCCGACTAGATGTGGCGAGAGGGATTAATTCCATAGGACGGCATTCCATTGTGCCGCTGCGCTCTCCTTCTTTTGAGACGTGCTGCTCGCCGTTTGTGACGTACTGCGCAAGCCCGTGGTGCGAACGGAGCCGAGTTGGCGGCGTTCACCGTGAACTCATTGAATTTCTAAGCTATTTGTGATCAAAGTGTGTTTGAGGCAATTAAGCGTGGCGTTTGATCATGGCGCCATACGAAATGTCAAATGTCAGCTGTTCCCGCCTTTTTTTTCCTCCTCACGTTTCGCTTGAAAGTCGACGCGGAATGTCGAAGCATTGCTTTTACAGTAAAGCCGGGGGAGGGGGTCACCTACATGGTGCCCGCAAGCTACATGAGTAGCCTGAGAGCTGTTAATAACATATAAGCTAATTAAAGGTAATTGAGCTTTTTTGTTGTTGTTTGTTTTTGTGTATCAAACCAGTAGCCGTTTGCGGTAATCGATAATCAAGAATAGTTTTGAGTTCCCAAAATGTTGTTGACTCCACTTTGAAATCTCATGTGAACTGCTGAAATACACCTTCTGTGTATCCCATTTGAAGCCGGAAACGTTCGATCTGTATCGGTCCACAAAATTTTGTAGTTTAATTAACGATTGGACTTGAGGGGACCGGCTTTCACTTCAAATCAACATGGCTGACAATTGTATGATGTTTACTCAAACTGTGGCTTCACATCCTGCGTGGGAGGAGTACAAATAAGAAAAAACGTTCTTTGCTTATAAAATCCAGATTGAAATGGAAAAAAAATAATAATTGAAAGAACTAAATCCGTTTTAATCGTTTCAGTGCAATTATTAAATATCAACTTCCACATTTCACTCCGCCAACCACTTTGTGCAGGACATCGCCATGGGTGACGATAAATAATGCAATTAAAAATATTCCCATTTATCCATGAGCAGATTTGTATGATAGTTTGTAGAATGATCCAAACAGTTTAAAATGTATAAGCAATGTTCGCATACGAGCACTGATATATTTCCAAAAGAGATTTCATGAAGGTGAGCTTGAACCAACTGTTTTAACTTGACCCATAAGCCTGTGTGCGTGCGTATGTGTGTGTGTGTGTGTGTGTGTGTGTGTGTGTGTGAGTGTGTTTTTTTAACATATGCTGATATCTGATAATCTTCTTATGTGTTTGAGGATTTTTTTCCCCCCTGATCTTACTGAATAGCTTAACAAAATATGCTTCAGTAATGGAAGGCTGTAACCTCCTCAATCGCCTCCACAACTTCAATAGGCCATCAAGTGGCTAATGAACTGATAGGCTTATGCAAGCTTTTGGCCCCATTTCGGGGGCACATTAGGTGAGAATAAAGCAAAAATCAAAAGTATCACATCGTCCCTAATATGAACTTTCACGAGATAGAAGAAAAGCAATTGCGATTTTTCTTTAGTTTTTTTTTTTTTTTTTTGCGTGTTTTGTTGGTTGCAAGGCCCTGTTGTGTGCACTTGATCAGAGCTGCGGCTAAAGCTATGCGTATCATTATCACTTGGGTATCTGTGTAAATCCATGGATTTGTGTGAGCAGTCTGAGAAATTAAAATAACGTGCTTTTTACTACGCTTACTTTAAAGCTCTTTCAACTTCATTTATATTTGTGTAAAAAAACATCTAAATCTGCTATTATGTAGGCCCTACAAAACCCATTTAATGCCATCTTTGACAAGATTATCAAAGTCATTGATGATGTCACCAACTTCAATAATTGGAGAAAATGTCGACTAAGCCTGGATAAGCACTTTTAAGGGGGATACCGCTGGATTATCGTAAGTATATTTATCGTTGTTTAGATTTTAGTTGTTTTCATATTATTGTTTCATTAGAGGAAGGCTTCTTTAATTTGACATGTATGGCTTGATTGGTAGTAATTCATTCGTTTAGCTTGGAAAAACACATAAAAGCTGAAAAATACACCTCTGTATTGATGCATTTCACTTCGACGGCAACATTTGCACCACACGAGTACGTCCATGATGGGTCCAATGAGACGTAAGGTGTGTAGTATACAAAGGACAACCAGAAAGAGGCAAAGAAAAACAATGTGCAAGGGGTCGAACAGAAACATCAAACAAGGTGCAAACTGGCATGTCTTTCCACAATTTTTACAGTGGCAGTGGACATTTCCAGGACAAGGTGTGATTTACAGTTGGAGAGGAGACATGCCACGCAGGTGACATTAAAAACAAACGCCGTGCCGAGTGTTTTTAACGAGCAAGAAGCGGGAGAAGAGCTCAACTGCCCGAGCGAGAATCTTTTTTTCTCTCAACCCTTAACGCTCCGTGTCGAGCACAGGCGGCGGCGTTGTTGGCGTTCTGTCCATAATGTGAGCAGAGTCCCGGTCGTGAATTAAGCCGCTGAGACACCGGACCCAAGCAGCGCTCTGATCTTCGTGCAGGTAAGGTAGGAGGACATATTAATCACAGTGTCGTCCATGCGAGATAGCGAGCGAACAACACGGCGAACATGGTGCTGTCTGCTGCACTTCCTGATACACTGCTTCTCCAAAGTGTATTTTCTGCCATCAGAAGACCACGTGGCGCGGTATCTTTCACATTCCAAGTGGAATTTCACTCGATAGACTCATTTCATAGGATTGTCTGGAAACGGTGTGGTTTAATTCTTCCTGGATTAACGTTACAGATGCATTCCGTTCAGCGAAGCTATGTATGTATATCATTGTGGAGTTACAGTCCAATACTCGTGACAGATCTCTAGTGATGTGTTTAATCAGCATAGCGGCCAGTTGTTATTTTTTAAAATCCTTTTTAAGGTTATTAAATGTATATGAAAAATAATGAAGTGATCAAATGACCAAATATGAACTTTTTACCGCTGCAAATGGTGTACATCTGGGAAGTATCACTTTAATGTCACTTACATTAACTCCAATAATTGTGTACACTCCTTAATATTTGTCATGTATTTCCTCTGTTTAAATTTGGGTTTTTATAGACATGTCTCATATATAAAGTGTGCCCCTCTTTTTTTTTTCTTAATCCTTTTTGCACGCCAATGTATGCAGCGGTCCTCAGGTGTCTTTTTGACCGAGGCGGCAGCACCCAGAGCGGGGGCCGAGCGACCAAGGGGCGCTGCAGTCCGCCTCTCCCTCCAAAGCAGGGAGGAGGGGGGGGGGGATTACTGCAGCGTCTGTTGGGCCCATATGCCGCCAAAGTCTTGATTAAACTCTTTGTATGTATATGACGCGCTGTGGAGACCATCTTTAATCTCTCCTCTAACTTTGTGCACTTTGCAGGCTCCGAGGTTACAATAACAAAACTGGGGACGCTTTGTTTCCATGTGCGCAGACGAAGCTACTTTTTGGGCTTTTATGACGCGACCTAAATCGCTTTTCAACCGACGGGAGTGCTTTTAAAAATCTGAAAGCTACTTCTAATTTAACTTCCACACATATGTGAATTTAAATGTTACGCAAAGTATTTAGGAGAGAACTTTTATTATGAGTATGAACCGCTTTCTTTCGGGTTTTCCGAAAGTTAAGGAGTTGTTCCCATCGAGCAGACTCTTCTCATGAATATTCACGGCTCTGTCAGCCGAGCTATTGTCTCCTCATTCAATTGTTTTATTGTTTGTCGCCATAATGAAGCATGCATGCGCTCGTTTCTAACTAACAAGGGAGAAAACCTGCACGTACACATTTACGCTTGAATGTAAGTTCTGTACTGCTCAACCTTCAAAATATCTTTCCACCCCCCCTTTTTTTATTATTTTTGAAATAAATGACGCGCAGGCGCACTAACCAGCATCCAGGAGCGAAATCAAAGTGGCTCTTGTCTTTTTTAACGCTTCGATTATTTCAAGCAAGCTTTTAATTAGCGCGCTCCTCCAGCGGAGGCTGCAATGAAAGAGAGATTATTGGCAATGTCAAGGATACTTAATTGAATGTTGGACTTCTAACAATTAGCCAGCCATGTCGACTCATTACACATCCCATAATAGTCTGTGACTTTGTTGGTGAGTTTTAAATAGCAGGTATAGAAAAACACAAGCGCCCGTTTCATCAGACAGCATCTTGACACCTCACTCGTAGTCACAAGAACAGAAGACTGGGAAAAGTTCTCATCTTGGTGGAAACGGTGTCACTGCAGGTTTCACTGATAGTGCAATATATTTAGCTTTTTTTTCAACAAAAAAACAATCTAACGACACTACAAAATGTGTGTGTATAATTAGAATTGAACGCGTACAGGCTATTTTCAGAGCATAAAGACCATTCTCAGACGAAAGCCATTGTGTTATTTCAAAATGCTTGTGGACTACATGTTTGGGCCGTGAATGGGACCCACTGTTGCTAGGTGAAAATATTGGGATTAACATCTTTTGTGAGATTAAACTGCTGGGCCTTCACTTGTTGTGAGGACTTTTCAAAAATTGGAGCTCCGGAAGTGGGGGAAATAAAAGCGTTAAGATGCGCCTCAATTTTATTAGATTTCTCAAGCGTTATTAAACGCCATTGGGTTATTTTTAAAACTGATTTAAATGAGGTCAAAACAAATATATAGGTTTGAGCAGTTTAACAATCACATTTTCTCTCCCAATTAAAGATACTTAATACTCATAACTTTGCTTGTGAATACATTTTACATTTGATTTTTTTATTATTAATGTCGTTATTAAAATGCCATACAACCCAAGTGATGTTTCCGCGCGCTCAAAACACACACACACACACACACACACACACACACACACACACACACACACACACACACACACACACGCGCGCGCACACGCGCGCACACGCACGCACGCACGTATTCATATACACTCAAAGATCGTCTATTAAGAGGAAAGCTCAAGGGACCGTCCGCTTTTTATTCTTCTTTTTCACGTCTTTTCGGCGGGGAGGCCTCAGCATCTTTGGAGCCGGTACCGGACCCAGAATCATGTTGATATCCAGTGGAAAGGAGCCTTTGCGTACGTGTGTGAGTGCGTGACAATGTGTGTCCAACCTTTCATATTATTACTACCACTTGAAAAGTCTCATTTAATCATTAGCGTCTGCGCTCTCCCTCCAGAAAATAAAAGAGGTTCGAAGAGAGTGTGATGCGAGGAGGGGCTCACAAATTGCATACAATACAACAGATCACAGTTTCGAAGGCTATAGCACAGATAAAAATAAAAATAATAAAAATAAAAAAACACATGTACCATTTATATAAGACACACATTGATTGTCTCTTAGAAACTACTTATTGATTCTTTATAAACACTTTTTTCTTAAATAAAGTAGTGCATCCATGTCCACGCAGCATCCTCATAGGAACAAAGAAGTAGGTTCTGAGTCCAGGGTTCTCGTTCCTTGGCCTTGCGTGTGTAAATGTGGTGAACTTGTCCTCAACAGGTGCACAAGTGGAGGGCGCACTGATAGACATGGATGAGGGACATTGGGGGCTACAGGTGAGGGGTAGAAGTAAAGAAAATCTCTTTGCCAGTGCTAAAATAAATTAGACCTCTCCTCTAAGAGAGGGTTATACGTCCAAAATGTTGGAGGCGGCCCCCCTCCCGGAGAGCCGTTTTAACAAGGGCCCGCGCAGTGTCTGTGACGGAGTGTTCACAGGACCTGGAATTTCCACGAGGAGGTCTGATCCTTATAATCCAAGCAATCGGCATTGAAGTTCAGCTTCCACGACGCCGCTTGGTCCTTATAATCCAGGCAGTCCGCCGTGGAGTTGAAGCCCAGACCGGACGTGCCGTAGCCTTGCGTGGACAGCGACGCCGGGGACTGGTTGAGGTGGCCCGCCACCGCATTTGTGCTCATCGGACTCAGGGTCGAGCCGGGGCCGGACAGCTGGTGATGCATGGGGGTGAGGTAAGAGCCGCAGTCCATGCCGCCGAAGTAGGACGTGGAGCCGGCGTAGCCCTGGCCGTAGCCCGAGGCCTGCGTGTACGTCATGGGGTACGACCGCTGCATGCACGACGACGACGTCGACAGCGGGTCCGAGAGCGGGGAAATGGAGGCCGGGCTCCAGATGGACACCGGCGCCGTGCTGCTGGAGATGGCCGGGATGGCCGTGGTGGTGCTGCTGGGGGGAGTGAACTGGCCGCTGGCGCCGCTCTCGGAGCTCACTTCTCGGCTCGGGGAGCTTTTCTTCTTGGTCGGCCGCGCCTTGTTCTGCCCCCCGTTCTGCTGCTGCTGTTGCTGCTGGCGACACTTGGCTCGCCGGTTCTTGAACCACACCTGCGACGAGAGCATTGCAAATATGCGCTGCAATAAAAGCGGCAAAGGTTCTCCGTCTCCCTCGGGAACGCCGACATTTCTCGATTTGCTTTTCCCCAAAGTTATTTGTCAACTAGAACGCTTCATTTCTCAATTTATGAGACGGGTTTACACACACACACACACACACACACACACACACACACACGCACACGCACACGCACACGCACACGCACACGCAAAGCATACACACTCACACACACAAGCACACTCACAAACGAACACACAAATCACATTGGCTTACAAAATTTACATTTCATGTTTCCGTTGGCCATTTAAAAACGTTTCGAATTAATTTGATGTCGCTCGATGGCAAATAGACCATAATAATAATAATAATAATAATAATAATAATAATAATACAATACAAACCTCAAAGGTTTGGAAACACGGTTCACTGTATTTTTTGATTGTTTCGAATAATTTCCCCAATCTGTTTCTTTCAGTGCCTTGGATGATTGCCGAAAATGTGAAATATTAGCAGTGACTATTTTTTTTATCTTCATTATCATCTGTCTACGGCGCAACAGCAATCTTTATTTGAATTGTACAATCACAAAACGAGTGATAAATTTTAAATCACTCCTTTAAAAAACATTCACGGTCAACTCATATGATTTGTCCTTGAAACTGAATGTGTGCTTTTCTTGATGTTCTCAACTGATTGGTTGCGCAAGTACAGTTAATCATGCCACACTCATTCCATGTAAAAGGCCAAAAACAATCAGAATGGCTAACTTCTTTTAAACAAACACCACATTTACGCTATTTACTTGAATTCAACGTTAATTTTAAGGCTCATTTTCACTCACTACAATTTTAAGGAAACGAGTTTTTGAGTCTGCATGTCTCAAAAACTCGTTTCCTTAAAATTGAGCTACCAACGGGGAAAAAAAGACAACACTATATTTACAAACATTAAAAGGGCAGGTAAAACACTCACTTACAAAAAAAATCATGCACATTTAGCTTTGGGGGCAAAAATCAGCAAGCAGCATTCGCCTAGAAATCCATCTTTGATTTTGTCTTCCCGTTTTTTTACTGTGTCTTATCTTATTATTTCTTTTATGACTGTCACTTGACTGACATATTTTGAATAAAATATGAAATTCCTGCTTTTGTAATTTCATGTTCCCCCTTCTCGTATTTTCTTCGCTCGCTCTACATGTTTTCCTCCAAACGGATAGATGGGGTTTTCCACCAAAGCAGAAGCTGAGCGACTCACCTGTACACGCGACTCCGGTAGATTGATTTTGAGAGCCACTTCTTCGCGCATGAATATGTCCGGATACCTCGTTTTAGCGAACAACGCCTCCAAGACGTCGAGCTGCGCGCGCGTAAAAGTAGTCCTCTCTCTTCTCTGCTTCCTTGGCGTCGCTGTAACACCCGGAGAAATATGCACAGCATGAAAAAAAAAATATTCCAACACATTCAACGATACTTTGAAATAAAACAACACACGGAGGTCATGGAACTGCAATTTGCAGGGCCTTCGATTTCCGTCTAGTTGCGTATTTGTGATTCCTTGCTGGTGTGAACGAACATAATTTGAATTCATAAAACCTCATTCGTTTGTCTTTATTCAAATGGAAATATTTGTTTGGGGAAGAACTGGACATTCATGTATCCATTCGAAAAGTTGGCGCTCACCTGGATAACCCACGGATGGATGCAAGAGGTCCATTCCGGAAGTGGTTAAGCTGAGCCCATTGACTGTGTAAGGTGGTTGCTTTAGATACGACATCATGCTAATGTTTGTCTGGTGGCTGAAGTTGGAGAAAATGTTGGAAATGGATGGAGCTCCTGATGTGCACCTGCTGTCCTGTCGTGCAGTGCTCACGCGCTCCTCTCTGTTGACACCTGACCACAAAGGAAAACCGCAAGGGCGACATTTTACGTTTGGAAAATAAACACACACACTGCACTAATACATACATTTTATTTGGGAACAATTGCCTGCCTACAATACACAAAAATAAGAGAACCGTAAGCAAATTTCTCTGTTTTTAATGGTTTATAAATGCGCACGTTTGTTCAAGTCATTAGGTCGATTCAAATATTTGAGATGATTCAATGAATTGTCACAACCTTCGTGTATGTTTTTTAACGCTAGACTTTCATCACAAATATTTGTTTTAAATAAGGGAATCCGAGTTCTGACTAACTGCATGTGCTTATGTAAATGTCACTTATTCGTTAGTTTGTCTCTTGATTGTATTTTTTCGTCTCCTAACGGTTTTAACCCCCTCGTCCCAATCTGTCACGTTTAAACCCGTGGACCAGTTGCACATTGCCGCTCAATAATCATTATCGTCATCGTCCTCATCCCCATCCCTGACCGAGTTTAATTATCAAAGGTCTCCTTCTTTTAAATTGATTAATTTATTGATTAATTAACGAGCTAATCGAAGTGGCAAGTGAGTGGAGTTGATTGCACTCCAATTTTCTTAAGAATATGCAACGATCGCTCCAGATGAATATTTTTGTTTGTGTTTGAGTTTTAAAATCATTATCGTTTATTCCATTCGCATACTCTGGCATTTCAGCAACCGAAATTATAATTCTCAAAACATTTCTGGCGCCTAAATTATTCATGCTAATAGTTTGTTAAATGTGATGTTAATTTACTGTCCGTCCAATTAAATAATGCAATACGAGAGGCCTAAAAATTGATCATTTCTGATCAAATTGTCAGAGAACGCATAACGCACAGTTTGATTTACATTTTTAAGCGGACAATTTTAAATGAATGAAGAATACGTCCGCCTGAAAAATAGACTTTTCTTCTCTTAAATGTTTGTTTTACATCGAGTCCTCATCAGAATACATCACTCTTGATTTAAATTTTTTTCCGATATGAGCCAAAATAGCGTTACTTCTTTTGTTTCGTCTAGTGCCTCCGAATTATTTTATTTTACATGATTTTACTCATACTACGACCCGCCCCTTGAAAAAAAACCAAACTTGTTTTCTAGTTGTTTTGTGTTTTCGTGTCTGTGGCCTATGTCTTTGCTTTGCAGGGCATATTGAAGACGAGCCCACCTTCGAATTTCAACGAACGGTCGATCTAAAACGAATCCTTAGTGAGTAGGGGGGGAAAGTGAACCCACCTTGGTCCTGGAGAGTGCAGACGTCTTTTGTGTGTCTTGAACGAGTGCGGAAAGTCAAGTGAGGGCAACGGCGTCCTGCGTCAATATCGAAAAAAGATACCACAAGGGAAAAAAGGGGGGCAAAAAAGAAGCAGAATCCGCAGTTTCAGAACACAAACTTCAACGTGGAGCGTCTGCGCTGGGTTTTGAAGCAGTGCTGCAGCAGCGAAATGATGATGACGATGATGATGAGGAGGATGAGGATGAGGATGATGGAGGAGGAGGAAGAGGAGGAGGAGGCAGCATAGGATTTGTTGGTGTGTTGGGAGTGAAGTGCTTGGAGTTGGACTTTGTACAAAGAGGCAGCCAATAGGAACTCAGCTCCCACACACACACTGGTGGTGGTGGTGGGTGGGGAGGGAGAATATTCCCCCTCCCACCCCAGATACTTTTTTTTGGGCCCCGCTGTCCTCATCCAATGGCCCCGCGAGAGAATCTTTCACGTCGGCTGTAACAAGTGGAGTTTAAAACTACAAATCACATTTCCGTCCAATTCTATGCATTAAAAAAATGAAGACAATCAAAAGAAAATGTTACACTGCCACACTCTGACTTCTTTTTTTTAAATGTCATTTTCACTAAGATGAGTTACACAAACACGTAAGACAATCACGCAATATTATATCGTTCCAACAATAAATGAACGCAATGGATGTGCCTCTGTAAAAGAAGAGAAAGAGTTAAAAAAGAAATCGAGAGACGCCTTCCTATCACATTCCCGCGACGTGTCGCATGAAGGCAGAAAAAAAAAAGAAGAGGATTTAGAGACTTATTCCTTAAAAAAAGCGTCCTTTCATCCGCAGAGCAGTTAGTGTGTCACTATTGAGCAGGCCTGTGCCCACATGCGCACACAAACAAGAGCTCAGTGAAGAAGAGGAGGAGGAGGATGAAGATGTTCACATGGCAAGCCGAGCTGCAAGGTAAAACAATTCGGTCTCATCGGCAATCATTTGCAGTTGCAAACGTGGTATTTTGTGCTTTTAAAGTATGCGCCATTTTTGCTTGAAGAATTGCAAAAACACTGGCGCTCGACGTGTGGTTTTCGTTGCTTTATGGTCCTATGTGGAACACACACACACACACACACACACACACACACACACACACACACACACACACACACACACACACACAAATGCGTAAGATTTTTGAATATTGATTATTGGAGAGCTTTGAACACACGGTGGAGCCTTTTCAAGGTCTCGGCGTGCAAGCAAGGCCTGCACCAAAGTGTCATCAGGCGCTCGCTATCCCCGAAGATTTCTACGCACGCAGCCGAAGAGCTTTTCTCCCCCCCGCAAAGTTGGATTTCTTTCAGCCGTCAACGCTCACCTGAGCAGAGGGATTTATTTGTTATTTCTTCTCGGGACGCAGCGGCAGCACAGGTACTGACACATTGCATCGTCTGGATGATTAAAAAAAAACATTTTTGATATAAAATAGAATATACGTTGTTATACATTGACATTATTTTAAATGTAACATCAAAAATTGTATGCGACAAGCCTTATTGTTTTTAATGTACATTAACATTTTAGGAAATCCATTTGAGGAAATTAATTGTGTTTATAATATTCTGCGCAATCTTTAAATGTTGTTTTTTTTTCTTTCAACTATTACAATCCGCCCCCCCATTTATTTTAAATACTACCTGAAAAAAATATTGTATTTTTGACATTTTAGAAAAACAACATTACTATTATTTACTTTTTAACCTTACATTTATTGAAAGTTTGATGGAATTATGCTTCGGGACCAGTGCCACTCGTGCCAAAAATGCACATTGGACCCTCTTTTCATCTTCGCCATCATCCGTTATATTTTTCCAGCCACGCCGGGTTGATTTACTAAAGATCTCCCGGCGCGTTCTATTAATAAATGTTGCAGAGCAGCAGCAATGCTGCGTGTAAAATGAGCAAACGAGCGGGTCTGTGCGCCAGTTATCTCGCCGTCGAAGTATAGAGCTCAATAATTGATGGGCCGCTAAAAGCGGGCCGTCCGCGGGGAGCGTGCGTGTTAAAAGGACGTTTAAAGGCACAAGGAGTTAAGCGCCCCCGGCGGGCTGCAAGCGCTCCCATGCACCGACTCCCGCCTTTTATCTCCGCCTCTGCTCCACTCCACCTGAGGCTGTGCATTAAAGCAGGCAGGGCCTCCTCCAACCTGTGATTCCTTTCTCACTTTGTCTCACTCACTGCACCTACTTTGATAGCCATGCACGAGGGACTAGGAAGGGGCTCAGGGGTGGCACTTGGAAGGTTTGGGCGAATTAATAAGGCTATGCATATTATTGCCAGTATACCCAAAAAAAGACATGATAGAATAAACATATGTATCATAAATAATTAAGGAGAGCAAATGGAAGACAAACTGGTTGGAATTTACATACTGGCAGACCCCCCCCCCCCACACACACACACGCACACACACAGGCATGCGTATTTACCACTTATACTGTACATCTTTTCTTCTTGTTTCATATCTGCATGCTTGAAGAATTTATTTTGAGCTGAAAAAAGAAGAAAAAAGAAAACCCTGCAGTTCCCTTTTTTTGACAGTATATTTTCTTTTTTGCGCCGTTTTTAAACAAGTTTTTCTTGTTCTTCAAAAATACACGATCAGAGAAAAGTAGCAACAGAATCGGTTCAGTTTGGATGCAAAACATTTATTTTTCTCTGAATCGTGCAGCTAAGTGAAGCCTATTGGATCAGCAACTGTGCTTGGAAGAGGGGGGATTGGAGCCCACAGAGGATCGTCACAAGCTGTATTTTAATTACTCCGCGAGGCTCAATAAGTACAGTAATCCACCTTTGCGATGAAGGTGCACTGAATGTATCCAAAATGGACGAGCAGTCACACACATTGTCCTTATTAATTATAAAGTAGCATGAAGGTCATCACAACACAAGAGGAAAACCAACCAACTCAACTCAACTCAATTGTATTTATAGCCACATTTCACTTTTCAAATGAGGAATCAAACTCATCCTGTGCTCTGGCGTTGCCACAATATTCCATGATATATATATATATATATATAGTACACACATAAACACACATGTTGCAAAGAAATACAAGTAGTAGAGCTTGTTTACATGTTTACAGTTGTCACACATATTTGGGATTCTACTGTTCCTATTTTGTCCTGCATTTTCCACACAGAGCAAATGTGGCCCCCACAAGGCCATGACTGCGAATATGTGTGTGTGTGTGTGTGTGTGTGTGTGTGTGTGTGTGTGTGTGTGTTTGCCAAGTTCACGCCTTTTAATTAGAGCTGTAATTGTTGTTGTGTTGTGTTTGCGCAGGAGTTCGCCAACAAACAAACGGATGCAATTAAATTCACTGTCATCTCTCATCATCACGGAGGAGGCAAGAAGGGAGGAAGGGGGGGGGGCACACAAGGCCAAGTCAAGGTTGACTGAAGGAGAAGAGGTCCACTCGCAAAGACAGAAAGTGAACTCTAACTTGACAGTCTTACTCAGTGCATCAATTGAGGTGTGTCAGAATGAACCCAATCCCAGTACAAGACAACGAGTAATATCTCTTTGATTCACAGTATGCAGATAATTTGCTCCATGTTTGGACATTTGGATGAAATTGAAATTTCATTGTGATAAAATGTTGTTCCAAGACACAAACTTTCATTGAACATGGCCTAAATTCCACTCAAATATTGCACTTGATTACTGGTATTTTGATTTTAATGTTTTATATTTTATGTTTGATCTTTATGATATAGGGCCTACAGATATTTGTTACATTTGGGTTTTTTATTAAAGTGCTCTGTGAATAAATAAAGTGAGTATATAATTAGTCAATCACTAATAAGTCAAGTTGCGTTTTTTTCGTAGAACACTCAAAAATCGATTTGCCAGGGAAGCATATGCTTCATCTTCAATGAATATGATGAATAACGGTAAAGACATGGCCCACTGAACTACCCTTTGAAAATGAATTCGTCTTATAAGTATTTGAATTGTTGACAGTGTGTTATAATTCAAACAGTGATCATGGTAATCTTCGCAAACTTTTAATGCCAACATGTCTTGACTGTTATGTGTGTCAAATGTCGTTTCTCAATTTGCAGCATATTTTCTGAAGATGCGTGATGTGATGAATCACAACAACATTGAATTTATCGGAATCAGCCATCTTTGTTGTTTACATTCGCCTGGAATGCTTTGGGGTCAGACTTGGCGGAATCCGAGTGGGATTAATTCTGATTTTCAACCTTCCTCGAATGCAGAATAAATTGCTGCGGTAAACGCGCTCGCAGTGTCAAGGGTTAGCATTTAGCTTGGCTTTTCCATTTTTTCACAGCAACCCTTTGTAAGTAAGACACTTGTCAGAAATGTAGCTTCTTCGCTGCCACGAGGGCGATGATTACTGCCCAACGAACGACTCCACAACGTGTTTAGGTACACTAATGGCCAAAGCTATTGCTAGCTAGCGGCGTCTGCAAAAATTTCCGATTTTCCCTCGACCTCTGACTACTCACGGTAGCTAGCGTGAGCCCAGCGAAGTTTTTGGGGACCATCTTGATGGTTCTTCTAATCTTACCACTTTTATTTTGATGATTGCCTCGGCGTTTGATTCTCAGTTTTGCTATTCATATATTTATTATTTGTTTAGTTTTACAATAAAGGTCAACAGGAGCGACATAAATTCTTATGTTAAAAACTCTTTTTGAAGAACAGTGAGTGATCCGTCAAACTGCATACACCACGCCCATGAAAGACAAAATAGTATAGCACGTATGTGACAGGCTGGTATCGAATGTCATAGAATTGGAGAGTTTTTAAAAGTTTGAGTATTGATGTAGCATACTGGTATTGGTGCATCCGAGTGTGTTTGTGTTATGCAGTGAGTGGAAATGTGTTTGCAAACGCAGGCTTCAATTGCACCTCGCCTCTGTAGGCTTCCCGCGTGCACGTGGAGGTGTGTGCACGGCGTGCTAAAAGCTGCCCTGCAGACCGGACCTGTGGAGTCTTCAAAGGAAGAGGAAGTCAAAGTGGGGGGATTTGTTCAGGCTTATTTGGCAACCTGGGATTTGAATTGGATTCTGGAAAGCATTCATAACACATTTGAAAACGTTACATTGTGAGATTTCATGTTTAATCCCCATCATAATGTATTTTTGGGAGAATGGTCACAGCGCTTGCACTAGTGTGAGTATTCATGATTCATCAAATGTTTTTTTTTTCCTTGAGTGGTGGGGGGCTGTGAGGTGATGGAGAGCTCCTGAAGAGGAAACTCTTCCCGATTTAACCTTCCGTTGCACTGTTTTGTTTATCTGACCTGAATATGTGATAGGGTCAGTATGTTGGCCTCCACTGGGATTCATTTTGACCTCCCTCTCTTATAACCCACAGTGGATTAGACCTCCCTGGAAGGGAGCGCTACATGTACACTTCTACGGTTCAATAAAAGTGACCCATCATTTAGCATTTTCCTTTATTCTTTTATTTCATGCAAAAAATATATATTTAGAAGATAAGATATCCTTTATTTGTCCCACACTGGGGAAATTTACAATCACCCTGAACCGAGCAATTCATCCCTCCTTATGAAGGGGAGAAAAGTATATTTAGTACACTGGAAAAGCAAGTGGTGTGTATATGTAAACACACACACACACACACACACACACACACACACACACACACACACACACACACACACACACATATATATGCACTACGTTTTACCAGTTTAAGCATTTTACCTTTGTTAGTGAATCCTTCAGAAGAGATACCATTTTACAATAAATCCATCCTTGTTCTTTGTCGTTTTTCAATTAGCTTGGTATGACTTTGTTAAGACTTGATTAATTGCTATAAGGTGTTCAATAAAAGTGACCTATTACAAATTGTGCGATTATTTCAGATTTGACCTCCCTGGCCCCACCCCTTTCATTTGACAAGAAGGCTCCTTTTTGCTTCTTCTTGCTAGAAATCACCAGAACTACACTAGCTAATGTTGTAGCTAAAACCTCCTCAGGAGTACTCCATCGAATCTAAAGTTGTTGGAACTGTTTTTTTGATGAATCTTAATTAGTTTTGAATATAACTGATGACCTTTAAAAAAATTTATAGCCCCCTTAGACTCATTAGACTTCAATAGGTTGACGTGTGAAAACCGAAGCGAGAGCTAGAGGAAATTTTTCCACCCACCAATGACTTTTCATTTTGTACCGGCAGTATCAGAGAAGTGTTAATGTAACAACACAATATTGTAGTTGGACAAAAAAGAAGAAAAGTTTTTTTTTCTAGTATTTTTAGCTGTCGCTGAAATGTACCCTTCTCTTGCAGCTCAATTAGGTTGTGAAAATATCTGAACGCAGTTCAATCGCGAACCACAACAGGAGCAATGAACACATCAGCCATATGTATCACTCAGAGTACATCATTATGTTTGTAAAGAAATAAAATAACTAATCAGTGGTTTGATGGCTTCAGTACTTTTACACCAGTTCAGCGCTGAAACAGTGCGTGTGCGTGTCTTGTGTTTGCCTGTCCAAAGCCCACTTTGCTTTGAATGACACTTTGGCGATGCCCCCAGCTTTCCAATTGGACTTCTCAAGTGTACCCCCTGTTAGTGCCAACAGTGCCAATTCCTCCCCACGCTTTAATATCTCTCTTTGGGCCCTCTCTGGCCTTCACCAGCGAAGGCTCCTCCGTGACAGTTGGACATCGTCGGCGCTTTTTGGGAGACAGCGGCGGGTGTTTTCCCAGCCTCGGGCCTGTGGGGAATCTGTGATGGCTCGCCTGTCAGCCGGCCCCTCCCCTGTAATTAGGAGAGTAAACAGAGCGATGGGCTCGGGTTGTGGGATGAGGGGAGGGAACGGAGGAGGGCGGGGAAGGGGCCTGACTGCTCCTGTCTTACTGCTGCTTGAGTTGTCCTCCAGCAGCTTCGGCTTGAGAGAAATATTTATCGGATGATGTTGAGAGAATCAAGAGGAGAAATTTTGCTTTTTCTTTGAAGAGAGACTGAAGTCAAGCCATGATGAAGAAAGTGACCATTCTTATCGTGTCCCTCGAAAAATGTGTGTGATTGTGAAAATATGTTAACAGAGCTGAATGTCTGAAAGTCAAATGATTTGAGTTGAGGGGGGTAACTCAGGAAATTGAGTCAAAACATTTATTTACAAGAATACGCGCCCCCATTAGTCTAAACACGGCATTATTATGAATATTGCGTTTGTGGAAGAAGAATTAGGCTGCAAAATCGACCTGTTTTTATCCATCTCAGAGGGCGGCCATTTTGCCGCTTGCTGTTGACTGAAAATGACATCACGGTTGCGCAGGGCTCAGGAAACCACCAATCACGACTCAGTTCTTTTCTGAGATTGGTCAGGTAACGTTCACAAACTGAGCCGTGATTGATCGCAGCCACCGGATAGGACTGACCAATGTGTCAATATGTGTTTGTGTGAAAGCTTACGTTTGATGAAGCCATCCTTCGCGAAATGTGCCGAACCCGGCAGAATTCTTGCCTGCATAACCAACACAATGAAGAGACAGTGTCCCCAAGCTGCCCATATTCAATGAAGGAGAACAGAGACGCAATAAAGCAAATTTCATTTACATATTGAATTTTTTTTTGAAATGAATGAGAAAACGCGGCTTTTCAAATAGTTCACAGTTATTTCTGATCAATGAAAATAGGTTGCAAAAAGGACACCCTGTTCATTTCAAATCCAAAATATCTTGCAAACCCCGTACCTGGTTATCGAAGTTTGTAAAAATACATAACAAATAAGAGAAGGGCATTTTTAGTCTATAAAAGGAATGAAAGTTTGAGAAATGACAAGAAAACAGAGTTTTGTATTTGTAGTCCTTCTACTTAGATAGTGCAGCATGAGAATGAAGGTTTGCTTTTCAGCATTCACTTACTCTAGAAACCACAACAAGAAAAGAAGAGTTTTGTTTTATAAGTAGTTTAACAAAAAGTATCTTTGGACTTTTAAAAAAATGTGTTACCAGTCTTCCGATGTACAGCAGCTTTCATAAAACATACTTCATTCTCAGCATTCATTTGTGTAAGTTGTTAAGCCAGCACAGGTATAGCGATCAAATGAAGTGTACTGGAGGCAGAAGATGATATTTTGTGTGATTTCCGTATTCACGCAATCATGCTATGTGTGAATGCCGAAAGACAAGCAGTCACACAACAATGTTAAAAAAAAAGACAAAATGAGAGCAGTGCTGTTGTATTTACATTTGAACGTGTTTGTTTTCTATCAGACAGCCACAATACAATGCAGCCCACCTCTAATCCTCCTCCCCTCCTCTCCTCCTTCTCCTCCTCCTTCTCCTTCTTTACCTCCCTCCTGGTTGCTGGGGGGACTCGTCAGCGGCTTCTGGAATTTGTTGGGGGGCTGGACTTGTAAAAGCACAGAGCTCGGGACCAGCTTAGTGGCGGTGGTGGGCCACCCCAACCGTCCAGAAGCCCCTCACTTTCCTGGGCAGGGAGGCCGGCTGCGGGAATGACACGATCGGGAGGGGAGGAATGTTTGCGGAAGACCTGCCAGCGAAGCGCCATGCGGCCAGCGACGAGCATCCTACACACAGAAGAAGAGATCTTGGCCAATGGAAGCTCATCCTGTCAGCGTCATTTCACTTGCGGACGGTGCTAAGTGAGCTGCTTGTCATACATGCAGACACGGTGGCACCACATCTGACTGCTGGGACCTTTGTGACTTCAAGTCAGCCCCTCTCGAACAGAATGCACCAAATATTGTGCATGGTTAGTTTCAATGGAACTCACTCAAGTGTGCATCAACCACCATCTGTCTCCATTACGCGAGCATGATCACATGCACTAGTTTCTGTGTAAGTACATTTTAAATCAGATGGTGTGCATCAGAGTGTACATGTGGTGGACAGGGAGAGCGCAAACGGAGGGGTCCCCG